CAACAAAGCAGGGGAAGGAATTAGAAGCGAATTTGGGATTCCAAATTGTCAATAAATTATGATATCTAGGTATTATATTATCAGCTAAATGTACAACAATTAAAGAAGATAATTATTTGAAATTACTCCAACGAACAGAACAGGATTTAGAGAAATGGAAGAACCTTCAGACGTCTTTATTAGGTAGGGTCGCAATTATAAAATCTTATATCCTCCCAAAATGAACATATTTATTTTATACAGCACCAGCTAGACTAGACAATACTTTTTTCAAAAAGTTAAATCAATGTGTCCTTAAATTTATCTGGCAAAATAAAAAGCTCAGAATTAAACTTAAAATGCTTCAAGAGGTGAAAGAAAGAGGGGGATTTGGCTTACCAAAATGGGAATATTATTATCAGGCTGCAAACTTAGTTTGGATAAGGGAATGTATCCTGCTGAGAAGAAGACGGTTGTTGATCCTGGAAGGTTCGGGATTACAACAGGGTTGGCACTATTTTCTTTGGCAAGATAAGGTTAAAAAACATATGAGTTTTGCAGGACATTAAGTAAGGAATATCCTAATTGATACATGGAGGAAAGTTAAGGGTAAACTTTACTTTTCAACTCCTTCTTGGTTGGTCCCATTAGAAGCTACAACATATAGTTCGCTTTATAATAAAGAAAAACACCTATCCTATCCGGAACTGTTGGATGCCCAAGGATGCGTAAAACAAGAACTGAGTTAGAGCTTCAAGGAATAAAATTGGATTGATGGTCATATGCCCAGATCAGCTCTAAATATAAGAAAGACAAGGAAAAAAGTGGTATAGTTATGACCCAGCAAGAAATAGATAGTATTATATTAGGAAAGGAGGAAAGAATATTATCTAAGATCTATAAATTCTTAATAACTTATTGGATAGGAGATGAGATTGTTAAAGACTCAATGATTGCCTGGGGGAGAAATATTGGTTATTCAATTGAATTGATAAAATGGGAAGAAATTTGGACGAAACAATTGAAATTTCTGATGGCAACCACTTACAAAGAAAACTTGTATAAGATGGTGTATAGACGGCATCTCCCTCCTGCTCGATTAGCTAAAATGTTTCCAGGACTCTCCCCAAATTGTTGGAAGTGTGGGGAGATAGGTACTTATTATCATGTATGGTGGACCTGCCCTAAGGCAATCGAATTTTGGAGATTTATACAGAGGTGGATATTAGAAATTACGGGATATAAATTACAATTGAAACCAGAATACTATCTATTAAATATTAGGCCAGATAAGATAGGCACGAGTATATGGTGTCTGATTACATATATCACAACCGCAGCAAGAATATGTTTTGCTCAACATTGGAAGGGGAAAGACCTACCGGCTGAAGATTTGATTCTGGGAAAAATTATCGAATATGCGGAAGCTGACAGGTTAACAAAAAATTTTGAGAGATCAAAAGAACTCCGTATATTTTCAATGTTGGGACCAATGGTATACTTGGTTGAATAATAGAATAAAAGAAGGATAAGGTTAGTGTAGATTTTATTCTTTATTTGTATATCTTGACTGAAGTTAATATATTGTGTAAAGCTCCCGTCGCGATCTGTGTGTGAATAAATATTTTGTTGTAAAGAAATAAATAAAAAAAATTTAAAAAAAAGAAATACAGAATGATAATACTGGGATAAACAGTGGGCTAAACAGTGGTGAAATTAAAAAAAAGAGAAAAGAGAGGGGGAACAATGGGAAATATAGGGCAAAACAGGAGAGATCAGGATTTTTTTTTTAATTGAAAAGTTTTATAAGAAATACAAACAATTTTCTCCCCCCCACCCTATCCCCTTTCCCACATAATAGAAATTGTACATTTTCTTATACAAAAGAAAGCATTAAAATAAGACATTTTAATTACATTCGGAGTTGCTCTTCTTCTCTTTCTTCCCTCATTCCACAACAAACCTTCTTCTTCTCCTCCTTTCTTTCCCTTCCCTCCCTCCTCTTCTCTCCTACTTTCTCCTGCCTCCTCTCCCACCTCATCCTACTTCCTTTTCCTTTCCCCCACTTCTCTCTTCTTTTCCCCCTTCTCACCTTCACTCCTACTCCTGTCCCCTTCCCTTCCCTTCCTCCTCTCCTTTCTTCCATTCCTCACCCTCCCTCTCCTCTTCCTACCCCCTCCTCCTCTCTCCTTTCTAACTTCTTTGCTGTGAAATATTTTCCTCCTTTAGTGTCTGAGCAACTCCTGTATTCTACTCATAGATACTTTCTTCTGCTAAAACTTTCTCTATTCACCACTTTCCCCCCCCATCCCTTATCCCACCCTCCCCACCACCACCCTGACTTCCCAGAGCAAAAACAGGGTATAGCATCTAACAAACATATGCTAAAATAAACCAACTAATTATAAAGTTCAAGACTCCCACATGTTCTTTAACTCCCCTTGCTCCAATTCATCAACCTCCCTTTTATAAATTCTCAAAACCAATTAAATTAAATTCATTCTTCCTACTTATAAAAAAACTTTTTCTTGATGTATAATCTGATACTTAAGCAGTCTTACAAACAGTAAAAATCATGAATAAATTCCATTTCTATACCCTCGAACATCATTCTTTTTGAACATTACTCCCTAGTGAAATTCTGAGTTTAACATTAATACTCTTTCCTTCAAAAAAAAAAAAATTCATCTTAAAATCTTACACATTTGATCGCATATATCTTTTAAAATAATATAGTCTTATGTTAAACATTTTAAAAATCTCTTAATACCTTTAAAACACTTATTTACCAAATATAAATTTCAAAATCTACAGGAGGATGTCTTTCAAATTTTCAATTAACCGTCTTAATACCTCTAACTTTTTAGAGAACAGCCCTTTTACTATCCAAAACTAATTATCATTTTGCAATAAAATTCTGAATTTAACATTATTCCTCTTCTCTTCAAAAGGTTAGGCATCTTAAAAGCTTATACAATTTATCTCATATATCTTTTAAAATAATATAAACTTATGTTAAATATTTTAAAAATCTCTTAATACCATTAAAACACATATTTGCCCGATGCCAATTTCAAAATCCACAGGAAGATATCTTTCTTAATCTTCTGTTCTTCTGTTCTTTCTATATTTTTCCAATCCTTTTTTTTTATAAATTCTTTCAACAGTCCCCCCAATTTTATTTTTGAAACTTTTAAAATGGTGATTTGAGGTTATGTTTCTGAAATACTCTTCTTGAGGTCGCGTTTTCTAACTTGAAATCCCCATTTCGTCTCTTCTTGCTTGTATAATCATTCAGTCCTTTTCTTTGTCCATATAGCCAGAATTTGTTGCCATAAAGATTGTCAGCTTGCAGTAAAAAGACTATTTGTTGCTTTTCTGTCAATTGAACGGAAACGTCCACCAAAACCTTTGTTTCAACTGTGCCAGCCTGTCTTTTAATTCTGACCATCTCTTGAACTTCCAAAAACAAATTCCTCTGAATAATTTCCTGCTGTCCCTCTAACAACTGCTTATATTTTCCCAAGCTGTTTTTTGAAAAAGCCCTTTCAATTGTATCCAACAGGGCAGAAGTAAAAGAGTCTAGAAGTTCTTGAAAAGCCTGAACAGTCATGGCTTGAGAATTTGCTGATTCACCAGCCCTATTGTCAGCCATATTTCAGCCACTTTGTATTCATCCAGCTATCAGGACAACAATTCAACTCTTTTCCATACAGTATAAAAACAAGATTTTAGTTAAAGTCAGTATCTAATTCTTTCCCTCAATACCAAATTCTTTTCCTGGCTGCTTCCACTTTAAAACTTTCTCTTAAGGTGTAATCCAGTAGCTGTATCACTGTTGCAAATGTTCACAAGCCTTAACAAGCACTTTCCCTAGTAGTTTCCTCCTCCCGCCCTCAGGCGCCATTTTCTGCATTTTAAAATGGAGTTAAAATGTTACTTGCAAGTTTTCCTTTTTGTTTTCTCCTGATTTGCTCTGTCTGCGATCAAAGTAAAGATGTTAAAAGTCCCCCCGTTGATTTTCAGCAGATTTTGGTCGCGGCTTCTAGCTCCGCTTTGGCGGAGTCGTCCCTGGTCCAGAGCAGCTTGACCGGCTTCAATAGGGAGCCCACACCCTTTGCGCCCCAGGATTTCTCCTAGCGCACTTGGGGGGCTCTACCTCTGCCTGTCAACTCTTCTCTCTCCCCTTTGCCCGGGGAGAGGGTTCCAAGCCTCCAGACAGCTGTTTTTCGGCTGTTCTGGGGCTTTTACGGAACCGGGGATCGGGCGCTCGTAAAAGAGCGTCTTCAAAGCTCGCGGAGCCAACAGGAAGTCCGAGAGATCAGGATTTTAAAGCACAGGAAAAAAGGGGAAAGAAAAGGTAAAAATAAAAATGAAAAGGGAGAAAAGGAGAAAGAAATGAAAGAGGAATATGATGTATATATCTAGAACTGAAATACGAATTGTAGTAAGAAATAATGGTAAATCATCTGATGGTGAAAATGAACTGAATAATAATTGGAATATTATCATATGTATTTTTGAAATCTAGATAACGATGAGGGTTTTTTTTAGAAATATGAATAAGTTTAAATTGTAATAATTGAAATACTTTTAATGGTTTATGGCAAAAAGGAGGTATAGAAATTGTAATTTTAGTTGAAAGGACTAAAAACTGTTTAAATTTGTTAACCGGCCAAATACTCTGTTCAGCAAAAATACATTGTATGTTTGTGTATGTGTAAAAAATTAAAAAAAACTTTTTATAAAAAAAATATTTTCATTTTTCCTTGTATGTTATATTCTGACAAGCTAATATAAATTGAATATAAGAAAAAGAAAGGGGTGTATGGGGACCTCCCTCCTTCCTTCCCTCTCTTCCTTTCTTTTTTATGGCCAGCACTGCAAGAACCACTCTGCAGCTTTCCCCATCAGGATTTTGGGTGTGATTAATATTCACAACAGCTTCTTACATAATGAGGATGGAGAGGGAAGGACCTGATCATGCTGAATTAGCTTTAAACATGAACAGATTCACTTACCTGATAAACCTGGCAGTTGGTGAGCACCAGCATCTGCAAATGAAGATGGACTGAATTAGTGAAATAGAAATGATAAAAATAGGTAAATTCAGAGCATTTTTTAAAAATAGGTAAATACATGAGTTTTAGAGTTAAACAGCAACTATGTCTGTCTACATTTACAATGTATATTAGATTTCCTATCTAACTGTTCCTATGCATTTCTATGCATTTCTTTTTGGAAGAGGGAGAGCTACTATTAAACCACTCCTTCCACTCCTATGACACCAAACCATTCCAAAATGATATCAAGATCCCTGATATAAAAGGCCATCGAGAGATCAAGGAGGGTTAGGACACATGTGCTTTCCATTTCCCGCTCCCATTAGAGGCCATCCATTAATCCTCTAGACCAATGGTGGGATTCAAAATTTTTTACTACTGGTTCTGTGGGTGTGGCTTTGTGGGTGTGGCAGGGGAAGAATACTGCGAAATCCCCATTTCCTCCCCACTCCAGGGGAAGGATACTGCAAAATCCCCATTCCCTCCCCACCCCACTAACCTGCTTTCCAGCTCCTTTCTCCTATGCAAGGCAACAAAAGAAGACCCAGCCAATCAGCTGGGACTCAGGAGGCAGCGAATAGATCAGGGGCAGGACCAGCCAGGGGTGGTATTTGCTGGTTCTCCAAACTATTCAAACTTTCTGCTATTAGTTCGCCAGAACCGGTTAGAACCAGCTGAATACCACCTCCGCTCTAGACCATCTCAGTGCTAGATCCCAACCCAAAACATGTTGGGAAAGGATCTAGGTAATCATTTCCTCCAGGGCTCTTCAAAGCTGTACCACTGGTTTGGCAGCATTTTTCATCCTTTTGGTCTCTGAATAAATTCCCCACCTTTTATCATCTTCATATCTACTTTTCAATCTTGGTTTGTTTTTCATATGTGAAAGTTGAAGGTAGAAAACCTTGCATGCCCAACGGTGGGGGCTTTGAGGTGTTGGGTGGTGTTTCATAACATTACACAATTTATTTTCCAAGTATGTCTTAAATGTGTGGAGTTTTGCATACCATCTTTATCAAAGCAAAACCCCTAACTTGGATACCAGTTGTTTTTGGTTTTTCCAATTGTCTGTAAGTTTTTTTTTTCAGGCATTAGAGTTTTAGAAGCCAAGTGAACTCTTCACTGTATTTCAGCTGAATGTAAATTGGGTTTCAATTATGCCATGTCAGCCATTCAATCTGTGTAGCTTTTTCTTCTCTAGCCTAAGTAATTTAATGAAATTACAGCTCCCTAGATCTTTGGGCAACTCTTTGAGGGTGGGTGGGTTGTGCCCTCCTTTAAGAATGCTGCTGTTTCTACAGAGGCTAATCTCATGCCATCCGAGCAAATGTCAGGCAAACAAAAGCAGACCTTCAGGATGCATCAAGACATAAATGGGATTTCTTCTTGGGATTAAGAATGGTTCTGGGATACTTCTCGGCTCCCAGATTTGGGATCTTCAATGTAGAAATGTACTCAGGGGTTTCATATTTGGCAACTGTCCTTTCCCAAGTCATCTTTCATTTCCTTTCCACTTGGAGCTCCTGTGACAGAATGCTGTCTTTGGATACAATCTGGGTCAGTCACCAGAACCAGAAGTTTTGTCTTACAAGATAGAGCCCAGCAGAGTGAATGTTCTTGGGCCACTCTGTGTGTGATATTTATTTGGTGCCTATTGTACATAGCTGTTTAGATATTGATTGGGTGCTGATAGTTGGCTATTAAGCAGTTGGCTGTGCTTGTGCTGTCAAGGCCTCGCCTCCTAAGTAGTTGATAAGATAGTGCTAAATCTGCACTCATGTTGACTGATGAGGGGCTCTTTTACCAATCAATCACTTCCCTGGCTGTTTTTGTCCCTGCTCATGCAACAATCTTAGTAGCTACAAATGCTGTCATTCTTTGTTTTCTGGCTCCACCAAGCATTACATACCCTGCTCTCTTCCTTAACAGCAACAAAGCATCACCACCTGTAATGTATTATAATATTGCATCAGATCAGGAAACATGAGTGGTCTACCTCATGGTCAGCTCATGACCTGGTAACTTTCAGGCTCTCTTATGCTACCCCTTCTGCAGGGAGGCTGGACCCATTTGACTGCTCTGTGTCCAGCAAATTAATGGATGTAAGTGATGGTAAATTCATCCCTGATGGACAGAGTGTTCCTGGCACCTTTTGAAGATGTTCTGATGCATCAACTCCTCATTAAGCCATTCATGGATGCCACTGTTCTGGACACTGACTAATACTGATGATGTTACCTAGTTTGGGTAATGAAATATTTGCAAGAACAGAACAGAACAGAACAGAACAGAACAGAACAGAACAGAACAGAACAGAACAGAACAGAACAACAGAGTTGGAAGGGACCTTGGAGGTCTTCTAGTCCAACCCCCTGCTTAGGCAAGAAACCCTACAACACTTCAGACAAATGGTTATCCATTCTCTTCTTTAAAACTTCCAGTGATTGGAGCATTCACAACTTCTGGAGGCAAGTTGTTCCACTGATTAATTGTTCTAACTGTCAGGAAATTTCTCCTTAGTTCTAAGTTGCTTCTCTCCTTGATTAGTTTCCACCCATTGTTTCTTGTCCTACCCTCAGGTGCTTTGGAAAATAGTTTGACTCCCTCTTCTTTCTGGCAACCCCTGAGATATTGGAACACTGCTATCATGTCTCCCCTATTCCTTCTTTTCATTAAACTAGACATATCCAGTTCCTGCAACCGTTCTTCATATGTTTTAGCCTCCAGTCTCCTAATCATCTTTGTTGCTCTTCTCTGCACTCTTTCTAGTCTCAACATCTTTTTTACATCGTGGCAATGAAAACAGAATGCAATATTCCAAGTGTGGCCTTACCAAGGCATTGTAAAGTGGTATTAACGCTTCACATGATCTTGATTCTTTCCCTCTGTTTATGCAGGCTAGAACTGTGTTGGCTTTTTTGGCAGCTGCTGCACACTGCGTCTCATATTTAAATGGTTGTCCATTAGGACTCCAAGATCCCTCTCACAGTTACTACTATTGAGCAAGGTACCACATATATGGTACCTGTGCATTTTGTTTTTCTTGCCTAAATGTAGAACCTTACTTTTTTCACCATTGAATTTCATTTTGTTAGATAGCGCCCAAAGTTCAAGTCTGTCAAGATCCTTCTGTATCTTGAGCCTATCTTCTGGAGTGTTGGCTATTCCTGCCAGCTCGGTGTCATCTGCAAATTTGATGAGTTCCCCATCTATCCCCTCGTCCAAGTCATTGATGAAGATGTTGAAGAGTACTGGGCCTAAAACAGAGCCTTGGGGTACTCCACTGCATACTTCCCTCCATGTCGATGCAATTCCATTGAGGACTACACATCTGCCAGTTCCTTCAGAACCTTGGGGTGTAATCCATCCAGTCCTGGTGATTTGAACTCGTCTAGGGTAGACAGGTGTTCACTTACCATTTTCTTCCCTATTTTAACTTGTGTTCCTAATCTGCTTTTTGTGGTGCTGTTTTTGATAGGTTGGACTGTTTTTTCCCTTTGCGTAAAGACAGATGCAAAAAACGAGTTAAGTAGTTCTGCTTTCTCCCTGTTGCTTGTCACCTTCTTGCCACTTTCCCTCAGCAATGGACCAATTGTTTCCTTGACTTTTTTCTTGTTTTTAACATGTTGGAAGAAGCTTTTTAGTTTAGCTACAAATATTCTACTCTCCTTTATTGGATGCTTTCCATCCAATCTTGCAACTTTCCTTCTTAGGGAGAATGGTTGAGAAGGTGGTGGCATTGCAACCTCAGACTATCCTGAAGCAAATGGATTATACTACCCTTTTCACTCAGGTTTGAAGCCCACATACATAAACAGCATTGGTCATAGTCATGGATGACATCTGTTGGGATAGGGATGGACATAATGTATCCATCCTTGCTTTTCTTGACCTCTTAGCTGTTTTTGTTATCATGGTATTCCTTTGGGCTAATTTAGAGAGTTGGGGGTGAGTGTTCTGTGCTGGTTTGCCTCCTTCCTTCAAGGCTGGTCCCAATTAGTGTTGATGGGAAGTGAGAAGTCTAGCTCACAGCCCTCTTTTGAGGGGTGTTGCAGGACTCGGTGCTTTCTCTCATACTTTTTAACATCTACATAATCTATATTGATGTACATGAAACCACTGGATTACATCATCTATTGCTTGAGATGAGGTATCATTAATATCTGCGTGATACCTCAGTTTATATCTCCATCCCAGGTGAAGTGAGTGATGCTGTGGATGTTCTCTCACAGTGCCTGGAGACTGTGGAGGCCTGAATGGGGAACAATAGACTTCTAATGAACCTTGATAAGACAAAGTGGCTGTGGCTGAGCCCCTCTGCATCCAGGAGTTTAGCATCTTTGGTCTTCAATAAGGTTGTACTTTCCCAGACAAAAACCATGCATAATCTGGGGGTCCTCCTATATTCTCAGCTCCTGTTCAAAGAATATATAGCAGCTACAACTAGGTGGAACTTTGCTGAACTGCATACTGCATAAAGCCCTACATGGATGGGGCCAAGATACCTTCAGAGCTATCTTAATCCCATTAATTCAGGACACCCCATCCTCTAAATCAGGTAAGGTATGTTGTGGACTCCATTACTTAAAAATTCTGCCTTCTCTACCATTGCTCCTTCCATGTGGAACACTTTTTCTCCCAAGGTGAGGCAGGCTCCCCTCCCCTGGTCTACTGAAAAAGTATAAAAACATGATTCTGAGGCCTTCCTTGGGGCACACAGAAGAGCATGCCACTATAGAGGGAGTTAGCACCCTGAAAACCTTTTAATTAATTTTCATACATTCTTGCCTTTTTAAATTGTAAATTTTATTTATCAGATTTTTATGCTTTCATATTTTTTTTACTTGTATATCATACCAAGTCTATCTTTTAGGAAGAGGCACAGTTTTAATAATTTGATAAATAAATAAAACCTTTAAGAATCTCCTTTAAATTTAGATCAATGAACTGTTTGGTTGAACTTGGCTTATTTCTTTTCTTTTTTTTTTCCAGTAATAGGAAAGTGCCAAATTGAGTGACAGAGCAGATGCTTCCCTTGGGTTTGATTTCAGGTCCAAGATTAGAAGGTATGTCAGGCCAGAAGGAAAGTTCCTCTCTGAAATCCCAGGGACTCACTGCCAATCCTAGTCAACATCAAAGAATTAGTGGAACACAATTCAGTGGAGACAGCTCCCCAAATCACAATTGATGTTTATTTCCAGCTGATTTTACATGAGAGAACCTTTCTGTAATATGTTCAATTTTCTTACCTTTCTGTAAAGTTTCCTCAAGTTTTCTAGCAACATCATTTATATTGCTTTTTTGAAGGACACGAATGCACACCTCTGGAGCCTCTTCTCCATAATTTTGAATCAGGAGATCTACAACTTCTCGCTGATTAGCTTTCTCCAATGAAGCAATAGGAATGTTTGGCTTTCCATTGTGGTCAATACCCTTTAGCAACCATTTAAAATCATTAAATTGCTTCTCAAGGAGGTCATTCAATGCTTTGAAAAGTTCTTCTCTCACAGCGTTGTTCATGTCAGTTATGATAGATTATATCTGACCTAAAATTAAAATTAGAGAAATTAATATTTTATAGAAAATGTCAAGAGTGTGAGTAAAGCAAAGTTTTTGGGAAGCTTGTCTCAAAACTGCTGCCTATGAATTGAGGGGAATCACTTCCCCAAAGCCTAGCAAAAATGCCAGCGGATTAAAACAGAGCCCAGCTCACAAGGGTGACTTCTTTCTTTTGCAAAACACCATCACTTGATGGACCACTGAGCATCCTTCCTAGTCGACTCTACTTTCTCTTCCTCTTCTGGAGTAAATAGTAGGTCTTTTCCCAGCTTTAGTAAACCAGGGTCTCCCTTTGGCTCCTTTGCTGCTTATCTGACTCCTTTTAGCAACCAATTTCTCCTGCTGCTGTTTGCAACATATGAGTTTGCTTGCCACCCAGCAAGGTAACAGGATGCAAAAAGACACAAACAGGGGTGGGAGATGGGAGGCTAAGTTGCAGCCCCCCTCCCATGTGACTCCAGGCCTGTGCAGGATGCCAAGAATCCAAATTTGATCATGTGACCACAGAGGGTTTCAATGGCTATAACATCAGGTATGAGTAAGCTACCCGGTATCATTGCAATTTCAAATGGGCATTGAACAAATGGTCATAAGTTGAAGACTACCTGTAAAGAAAATGAAGTGAGGCACAAAATGAAGATGTGTCTGGTTATAATCCAAAGGTGCTTTTTCAGGAGGCAACTAGATGTTCTTGTTTTTTCTTTAAAGACGTTTTGCTTCTCATCCAAGAAGCTGCTTCAGCTCTGACTGGATGGTGGGGAATGAAAGCATTTATATTCCTTGCAGACAGCTTGTCATTTGCATTCTTTTAGAGAAGGGGTGTCAAACTCAATTGCATCACGTGACGTCACCTAATGTATCACAACGTTTTTTGCCTCTGTGGAGCCGGGGGTGGGCGTGGCCTGTGTGTGATGCATCCGGCCCACGGGCCACTAGGTTGACACCCCGCCGGTCACCAGGAGGTTCATCTGGGTCAACAACATAGATGATGTTACTTAGTTTGGGTAATGAAAAGTCTGCAAGAAAACAAAGCAAGCTCATTTCAATACTGAGCTACAAATATTCTCCTTTATTAGACAGTATATTAGAAAGACAAATAAGCAGATGTTGAAAGGAAAGTTAAAAATAAGTGGAGCAAGAACATTGTAAAGGTAAGAAAATTGTAAATAATACATTTGGATTTAGCAATATTTGTGAATGGAATAACTCTTCTTCCAAATATTCCATCTGTCCTTCTGATTTGAATGTAAGGCCATCTAGTTAAGGCTCTCCAAACTACAGCAGTACTGAAGGGAATGTGCATTGCTCACTATCGCACTCAGGGAAGCAAAACAATAATCCACTTCTCTAACATGCATATTTCATAAAATGTTCATTCTGAATCTTATTTAGAGGCTCAAATATGTACTGCTTTGGATAGTGCTCAATTCTGCCTTCTTTAATGGTGTCTTCCATTCATGTCAATAATGTTTTTTATTTCAAGATTATTTTTTTATCCCAGTTTCTCTTTGAATTTAGTCATTTTCTTCTCTTCATTTAAAAGACCAAAGACCAAAGAGGAAATACATTCTTAATTATAAATCAGGCCTTCAATTCAGAAAGCTAGTCAACAAAGTTGTCCACATATTGTGAGTCTCTTTTCCAGAAGGCACCTCTCCTCGGTCTGCTAGAACATACCATTAAGCAACAAAAAAATCCCAGAAGCTTAAACAAATGAAACTATAAGACCAAATGAAAACTGACCTTTTTTTTTTAACAGGTTCTCATTCAGAAAGAGAGGGGCTGCAGCCATACATTTTTAACAGTGGTGAAATCCAATTTTTTTTACTACCGGTTCTGTGGGTGTGGCTTGGTGGGCATGGCAGGGGAAGGATACTGCAAAATCCCCATTCCAGTGGTGGGTTCTTCCCGGTTCAGCCCGGTTCGGCCAATCTGGTAGTGGTGACGATATGACATCACCGAACCGGTTCTCTTTGTTCGGGAGCTGGGCCCTCCTGCCCCCCCATTATTCTTACCTTTTATTTGGCCCTGCCCCCAATTTTTTGCTGCCTCCCGAGTCCCAGCTGATCGGCTAGAAGGAAAAAACTGTTTAAACTCTTGCCGCAGGGCTTCAAAGGGCCGCCCTACAGCTGATCAGTGTTAAAAGGCAGTGTGGTGGTAGACCAGTGTGCTCAAAAAACAAATGGGTAGACCAGTGCCTCCAAAAACAAATGGGTAGACCAGTGCCTCCAAAAACAAATGAGTAGACCAGTGCCTCCAAAAACAAATGGGTAGACCGGTGCCTCCAAAAACAAATGGGTAGACCAGTGCCTCCAAAAACAAATGAGTAGACTGGTGCCTCCAAAAACAAATGGGTAGATCGGTGCCTCCAAAAACAAATGAGTAGACCGGAACGCTCCAAGAACAAATGAGTAGACCGGTACAGTTCTGCAAGCAGTTAAAAGTCTGGTAGACCAGTACCTCTGCTAAATCCTAAAGAATTGTCACATGACCATCAAACCACACCCACAAAATAAGCCACACCCACAGAACTGGTATAAAAAAATTTAGAACCCACCCCTGCCCCATTCCCACCCTACTCTGGGGCCAGCCAGAGGTGGTAATTGCCGGTTCTCCGAACTGCTCAAAATTTCCTCTACCGGTTCTCCAGAACCTGTCAGAACCTGCTGGATTTCACCCCTGATTTTTAATAAAGAAATTGTTTTACCCTGACTCTATATTTCCAGCAAGTAGTATTCTTGATTAGTTCTTGCAAAATGTAACATAGATGTTTACTTGAAATAGACTCTTGAAATTTGCTGCCTACCCAATTCAAAAGCACAGAAAATGCCTAAGAAGGCTCCCACCCATTCATGAATTGCAATGGGATGGGGAGCCTTGAAAACAGATATTCTCTGAGAATATCTCACTGCAAAACAACAGGCATCCACTCTCATAACCTCTGGACTATGACTGTTCCAAAAGGCCTTTGAGACTGGACTGTTGTGGGATTTCTGGTGGCATGAATGGAATTATTGCTATTCTACTATATGATTAACAGCACTTTTAGAATATAAACTAAATTTTATCATATTGTGTTCTTTTATTGCTGAACTGGATCTTGTGGCACCTCCTATATACTGTACCATTTAACGATTTCAGTGGAGGGGGCCACTACCACACATTCCTAAATATATGAACAAATATAGAGACAAAAAGAGCTGTTCTGGGGAAACCCTTTAGAAATATTTTGGGGTTTTTAAAGTCTGGCTTGTATTCAATGAGAAACCAGTTCACAATCCCCACTGACATCTCCCCCCCCCCCGATACTGCCAAGGAGGTCAGGATAGGCAGAGGATAGCCTCGCTCTGATAGCAGATCCAAACTTCTAGCATTCTCTTTTTCCAACTCTTCTTGCAGAGACTCCAATGAGAGCCTGTGATGGACCACAACAAACTCCAATCCACACCGGTTCCTCCTTTTGTTCTCCAAGACCACAATCAGGAGCAGCGGACAAGACAAACATCTCTCCTTCCCTACAACTTTCTCTTGAGGCTAAATGATGTGGGCAGTGATTTCAACCCTCCCCCCCCAGCCACTTTCCCAACTTGGCAGCTCCAACATGCCTTACTTTGTTAGGCAGGCTCAGACTCAACAGACAAGATCTGACAGTGACTTCCATATCACATTTGGCATGATCTATGTTACCCTTTCCATTCACTTCACCCGTTAACCTTGGCCATAACCTAGCCACCGCCCTTCCTGATCTCCATTTGTCTGCTACGGTTAGGACTGAAAGAACTTCAAAGGCTGCTCAAAAACAAACAGAAGCCCCACAGATCGAACCAGGCTGGGGTTCCCACCCTCTGCATCTGGCTCATAGTGCGTTGCACGCCTGGCACATAAGCCCTTTTTCCTTCTTTCCCAGAGGGCACTTGAGGGCCAGATCAGCTTTTGCCAGGTAGGGACACATTTTCTGCTGTACTAATGCCCCAGATTTCACCTCTTCTGCTGAAGCATGTGATTAAACATTAAAAGCACAGACAGGTTGAGCTCTACACAGCATTTCAGCAGACTGGAAAGCCAGGAAAGTTTGTAAACATGAAATCACAGGAATTTCATCCTGGTATCAGGTATACACCCTATATGAGAAGCCAGATCTTGATGACCTCCAAGCAAAACTTAAGGGAAAAAATATCTCTCTGCTTATAGACTGATGGTGGAAATAAGGGTCCCTCTATTGCCAGCCCCATTCCAAGCTCAGATGAAGGGCCTCCTCCTTTCCTGGAGACGTTTCCTCCCTGCACAAATTATGCTGAAAAGTTTTCCTCAAAGGCCTTATATTTTTGCAAAGCATTGACTGCCCAAACAGACTACCCCCCACACACACACACGTTACACGAAATCCAACTCTCCTATATTTAAACACTTAGGATGGCAACCTTACCTTTTTGTGGCAAAAAAATGGAGTCTGAAAGTAAATTCGTCCTGAATTTGTAGACAGATAGATAAAGCTTTGCCCTTTGTGCTTTCGTTTTCAACAGTGGCCCTCCCTTCCTCGTTGCAGTTTATTCTGTGAGTTGTGTTTGCTCTGTCGTGTCCTGAAGTAGCTGCTTCAAAAGACAGGAAACGTTTCACAGCAGTTCTGCTAAATGAATATCAAACAAGAGAGCTGTAAAAGCCTTAAAAAGATGCCTTTAAACAAAGGTTGAAATGAAGATACGCACCAGCTGCTTCACTTAATGTCTTCCACACTTTTCCTAATTCTTTCTCAACCTCCCACAGTGTTGTAATACCAGAAAAGGGTTTCTGGCCATGTGCAGATTCTTTTTCTCCTCTTTGAAAGAGATGGAGGAGGCCAAGGACCTGGAGGAGGCTAAAGGGCAGATAAAGCTCTCCTCCTGAGGGGATCCTTGCTGCTCTAAAAAAAGGTTCCCCTCCTCCCCGCCCCCCCCCCAGCTCTGTGGGAGAAATGTTTGCCTAACTTCCATGTTTCTGTCAAGTCCTTTCTGAAGCTCTTCCTCTTTCTGTGTATGTGATACCATTTGCCATAGCTTGCATTAGAATCTTGGTGAACATTAATTTGTGAACTTGGTGAGATTTCCTTCAGTGGGTTTGGTTTGGTCCTTTTACCAGTTTTCTGCTAATAAGCATCAATCCTCTCATTGGAGTCTGTTTGATATAAGAAACTATTGGTTTTCCAATAAGCAGGTTTTCTGGCCAAAAGTTTTTTGCAGCTCTTATTTTGGGGGTGGCATTTTTCAACTACTGGCCCATTTGTCTACTCCTGGGTGTTGTTGTTGTCCACAACTCTTTGCTGCCAGCACTTAAAACTTGTCCTCCCATTTGATCCTGGGACAAACAGCCAGGATGAAGTAGGCGGAAGCTCCCTGGATGCCCGGGACTCTAGTCCTGCCAGCTATTATGTCAGCAATGAGTGCATTGAACATTCTGCGACAAGAGGTTTTGTGTATATTTTGCTGTGTTATCAATGGAATTCAGACCACCACTCTGAATTAGCGATTCCTTAACACAAATACATGCCAAATAAAAATATAAACAGTAAAATGCTTAAGATGATGGATTGCATTGTCTTATTCTTATTCTGCATCATAATTAACCGTCATTCAGAGCTGATGTAACTTTGAAAAATTGCTGAATGAGTGTACATTAAGAGAGAACTACCTGCAAGAGCTGCCTATGCTTTCCACTATGATCTCTACAGCATCCTTGCAGCTATAACATACATAGTATTGAGTAGGTAGGAATAAAATTTTTAATAATACTTAATTTTTTTAAAAAGTGTCTGGATGATGAGAAAGTAGAATTTGTCTCAATCTATATAAGCATTCTCCAAAATACCTGGCTTCATAATATCATCACCATATATTTCTTTATAATGCCTTGGAAAGGCCATACTTGGAATATTGTATCTAGTTTTGGTTGCCATGATGTAAAAAAGATGTTGAGACTCTAGAAAGAGTGCAGAGAAGAGCAACAAAGATGATTAGGGGACTGGAGGCTAGGGGAGACATGATAGCAGTGTTCCAATATTTCAGGGGCTGCCATAAAGAACAGGGATTCAAGCTATTCTCCAATGCACCTGAGGGTAGGACAAGAAGCAATGAGTGGAAACTAATCAAGGAGAGAAGCAACTTAGAACTAAGGAGAAATTTCCTGACAGTTAGAACAATTAATCAGTGGAACAACTTGCCTCCAGAAGTTGTGAATGCTCCAATCACTGGAAGTTTTAAAGAAAAGATTGGATAACCATTTGTCTGAAGTGTTGTAGGGTTTCTTGCCTGAGCACGAAGACATCATCAAAGTAAGGCACTACCCCTGGAATGCCCTGTAGGAGGCATTCCATTATGGTTTTGAAAAGCCCTGGTGCCACACTCACCCCAAATTGTAACAGGTGGCATTTAAATGCCCCTCAGTGTGTGACAATAGTCTGTGCTTCAGTGGTGGCATTGTCCACTGGCAGTTGCTGATAGGCTTGTGCTAAATCAAGTTTTGCGAATATTTTGCCTTGCCCCAGCGAGTGCAGTAGATGCTGGACATCAGGTACTGGGTAGGCACTCTGTTGCAAAGCCTTATTTAGGGTACATTTATAGTCAGTGCAGATGTGAATTCACCCATCTGGTTTAATTGGGGTGACTATTGAGGTCTCCCATTTAGCATGATCAACTAGCTCCAGAATTCCCTGAGCAATTAGTTTGTCTAATTGACTATCTATTTTGGGCCGGAGAGCAAAGGGGACCCGCCTTGGCTTCATTCTGATGGGGGCTACATTAGGATCTAGCTTGAAAGAGGTGGGTTTCCAATCTACTTGCCCAAAGTTCCATTGAAAACGTCTGCAAATTCCTTCATCAGGTCCTTGAAGCTGTCATCTTGGACTGTGTGGATGCCAGTCACTCCTAAACCCAGAGATTCAAACCACTCCAGTCCCAGCAGGCTTGGGAGTTCATTGTCCACTACGGTCAGCTGCAGCTGTCCGATGAACTTTTCAAACTTGATTTGAAAGGATCTGCTCCCTAGGACAGGGACCCAGTTTCCTTGATAGTCTTTTAAAATCATTTTCTACAGTTCCAGCTGTTTCTTTTCCAGTCCTGGAATTGCTTTTTTGACTGTCTTCCAGGACACAATGGTCAGGTATGACCCCGTGTCCACCTCCATATCACATGGGCACCCCTCGATGCATACCATGATATGGATTTTTTTTTTATTTGTGCACACTGGAGTGTCCTATGATTGTTTGATGTGCTTCTTTGGTGTCTGCGGCTTGGTTTTCCCGGCGGTTGTTCTTTGGAAATTGTGTTTTCCTGGATCTTGTTCGGCTTTCTGCCTGCCACGCTGTCTGCTGGGGCCGGTACATGGCCGGCTGGTTGGCTCAACAAGCTTTTGTGATGTGACCCTTCCTCTCACATCTTTGGCAAATTGCATCCCAGAATCGGCAGCTCACTCTGGGATGGTTTACCCCACAGCTGGCATGCAACGGCGATTTGTCTCACGTCTCTGGCTTTCCTGTCTTCCGTTCGAATCGCAGGCGATGGATTTCATCATCTTCATTGGTGGAGTCCTTGGGCTCCCAGCTCTCCTGATGTACCATGGCTGCTCTTGGTGACCTGTTTGTGTGTCCTGTTTTTTTGATAGCTGCTGCTGTTTTATCAGTTGCTTCAGAGGCTCTAGCTTCCTCTAATGCAATTTTAAAAGTGAGATTAGGCTGGGATAGCAGCCTTCTCTGTAATTGGAGGTCTCTCAGTCCAAAGACCAGTCTATCCATCATTGCTTCTCCTATATTGCTAAATTTGCAGCAATCCGCAGTTTTTCTTAAAGCAGCAATGTATTGATTAATCATCTCCCCTTCCTCTTGATTTCTGTGGTAGAAGTTGTGTTTGTATATCATCGGTGAGGGTATGGGTGTGTAATGGGCTCTGGGTGATTCTTGGAGGGTCGGCCACAGTACCATCTGTAAGTCAGCTGGTTTTGATACTGCCTCAGCCATATCAAGGACTTTGGGTCCACAGTAACTTAGGAAAAGTGCCCTTTCCTGTTATCTGATAGACCCAATAGATCGTTGGCTTCCAGGAAACAGTTGAACATGTATTTCTTCCACGATTCTTTAGCTGGGTTGAATGGAGCAGGTGGGGCATATGAGGTCATCTTGGATGCCAATGTAGATGTCCAGATGCTGCGATGATGGCGAATGCCATGTGTATGTCCAGTTCAGATCAGCTCGATTGTCCTTTGTTTTCTTATTATCCCACCTTCATTGCCAGTGTTAGTTGGGGAGGGGGGTCAAATGAAGAGGCAGGACTCCAGGTAGTGACTTCAGCTCCTTATTTAGCAGCTCGGAATAACTTCTGAGCTGGCTGGCCAACAGCACCCTCTTTTAAAGGGAGCTGTCAGGCAGCCTGGCCACTGCCATCGCTTTATTTTCCTGCTGCTCAAATGGACCAATGAGTTGCGGGTATGCTAATGTCTTGGCTAACCCGGACCTGAGTGAAGCCTTTGTTCCCGGCTTCACTCCCTATTTACATATTTAACAGAAGCCTTTCTTCCACAAAGGTTTAAGTGGAGACACACAGCCGCTGCATCACTTAAGATCTTCTGTAGCCTTCCGGGTGCTTTCTCAGTCTCCTACAGAGATTGTAATATCAGGGAAGAGCTTATGGACACAGATTCTTTTTCTCCACTTTGAAAGAGATAGAGGGGGCTAATGACTTGAAGGAAGTTACAAGGAGAAAGTTCTTGTCCTGAAGTGAATCCCAAGTTGCTCATACAAGCCTAGAAAATGCTTCCCTCCTGTTTCACCTTAAACTCCATGGGAGAAGTATTGTGTTTGCTAGATCAGATATAATGCAGCTTTTGTATTCCCTGTCAATCCACCTCCGAAATTCTTCCTGTTTTTATGTGTGTGTGATACTATAGTATTGCTATCAATCTCACGATTGAACTTTTGGAATCTAGCATGAGCATTGATTCTCACAGATAATAACTTAAGAACTTGGTAAGATTTCATTCAGTGGATTTGTTTTGTCTTTTCGCCAGCTTTCTGCTTAGTGAGCATGAACTGGTTTTCTAACAAGCAGCTTCTCTGGCCATAGTTGTTTACAGCCATTTTTCAACTACTGGCCCCTTTGTCTACTCCATGGACTATCTTGGAGAACTGCTGGCCAAAATCCTTTACTGCCAGCACTTAGCAATTCATCCCTTCCACTTGATCCTTGGAGAAGCAATTGGGTTGAAGCAGGAAGATCCCTGGATACCACAGGACTCTGATCCTGCCAGCTGTGTGTTGCTGGTTGTGTCAGTATTGAATACACCCCCCCCAACTTTGCTCCACTAAAATAGCCCGAAGGTGAAGCTTAAGGAACAATGTATAAAACAATGTATCCATTAATAAAACCGCACAGCTAAAAGGATCTCCAAATAGACAGGCCAACTAGATAAAGGACTGAAATGGATTGTGCAGGCTGGGGTCAAATCAGGAAAACAAAACACTTAGGATTTACATTTCCTCTTTTCATTTAGGGCTAGTCATGACCCCACATGCCACAAAAGAAAATCTTGCAAGGACAATTAAAATACTATATCCAGTATAAAGAACATAGAAGGAAAACATTTTCATACAAATACCAACAC